ATGAAATTTACAGGCAAGTCAAAATTCCTTTTATCTTAATCTTACAGTACAGGATACAAGCTGGATATTCACGTAACCCTGGATATCCCAAAGCAATGAAAGAGGGATGGGCAACAAAAAGGCCCAAAAAAAACCAAAAAAAAAAAACCAAGAGACTAAGACCCAAGAGTGCAGATGAAAGAATCTTGCGGTTGAAGGCTGCCTCCGTAGAGGCCTGGACATGCACCTGGTAAAAAGCATGAACCAAAAACCAGACGGCCACCTTAAAAATCTGGTTAACAGATGCTTGGTATCTGAAAGCCCAAGAACCACCAACAAATCAGATGGATTGAGTATGTTTAAGTGCTGGTGGTACCTTATTTTGAGAGCATAAGCCTTCACAATGAGTCATCTTATCCACCTAGCAATAGTGTAATTAAAAGAAGGATGTCCTTTACAGACCCTGTTGGCAATACAAAGAGTTAATTTTTCAGACAGAGAATCCACACTGGAGGGAAGGCATATATTAACCTGAATAGAATGCATAGAATTACCAGGGCATCTGATGCCAGTGCTAGAGGATCATTGGTTCTGGCCACAAGGCCAGTATTTTGGATAATTTTTACCTGTACTGTAAAAACGCTAATAAAACGCTAAGCTTCTAAACGCTATACAACAAAACGGTATTTCCAGCGATTTTTATCCAGCGGTTTTCCCAGTGTTTTTTGAGCTTAACAAAAAAAAAAAAAAAAACACGCTAGTGTGCATGGGCCTAAAAGAAAAAAAAATGTGTTTCTATGTATAGTTTTTAACTGTATATGCATTAAAAACTTAGGGTTTGAAAAGAAAAAAAAAAAAAAGACCTGGTGGCAGCCCTGCAAATACGGGAAACCGCTGTTTGATGCTGAAAAGCCCACAAGGCACTTGCAGGTTTAGCAGTATGCTTTGACAGGAGATGGTGGAAATCAATCCTTGAAAAACAGAAGATTATGTGAATGTTTGTCTGAGCCACCTAGAAAGGGTGGGATGAAAAGCTGGTGCACCCTTTAACTGGGAAGTTACAAAGGAATTCAGATTTTCCAAAATGGATAGACTCACACAGCCCAAACCACAACCAGACAATGGAGGGAAATTTGCTGTTGGTAAACTAGAAATGGAGAGAGGGACAGAAGAACTATTTCCTGGTTGAGATGAAAGGCAGACACTTACTTGGGCAATAAGGAAGTCCTGGGCCTAAACACCATCTTGTCCTAATACAAAACCAGAAAGGGTACTTTGAGGGACAAGGACACCAGTTCAACCAGTCGCCTTGTAGAAATGATGGCTACAAAAAAAACACTGAAAGGAATATCTCAAAATGGGTTCAAATTGTACATTCTGAACCACAGAAAGAACCAGATTCAGGTCCCATAGTCACAGGAAAATAGTAGGGTAAAATTAAGGAGTGAGAGCCTAGCTGATTCTGGCTATCGGCACTACCAATGGTCAGATTTCTGCTTTTTCTATCCCGTTTCAAAGACTGATCCAGATGCAGCTGCAGGAAAGGGAGGATTCACCCCACAAAGAAACTCCTGGGGTGGACGCCCCAAGACTCACACCAAGTGAAGTATGGCTTTTACTTCCAATGACAGACCTTGCATACAGCAGACTTCCAACTATTTAGAATTGTAGGAATTACAGACTCAGAAATGCCCCTGTCCCTCAAAACCTTGGCCTCAGCAGCCAACTTATTAAAGCAAAACTACCATGAATCGGGATGGGGTACATAAGAGATGTCCTGGTGATCTGGCAGTGCCATTGGAGTATCTGCCAGAAGTCTTGCCAGGTCGGCATTCCACATCCACCTCCATACCTGGAGCAATAAGGATTATCAAAATGTTCTCTGTCTCGATCTTGCAAAGTAGACAAGGAAGACATTTCATGGAGAGAAAGCATAGAACAGGGTGTACTGATCCCACAGAACCACCAGAGCATCCACTGCTTGCCAACTGTATATACCTACAATGTACTTCTATAAATAATTGAAAAACTTGAACTGAGACTCCTTGTAGTGTTTCAATAAAATCACCTGGTTACAACCAAGGATACAGGTGAATCCTAATATATGCAATCCTATCTTATTTGATCATCAAAATCATAACATTCAAGATAATTTGTGCAGAAGATGATAGACAAAAAACGTTTTGTGCAATTGGTGATAATATCAATGCATTAGAGAAAAAAAAAAAAAAAAAAAAGGAAAACAAGATAGCTAATAAACAGTCTCATAAGTTTCTCAGGTGCCTGTGTTTCACCCAAGTAAGCTATAGGACTAAAAGACACCTTTCCTTTACCCTTGTCTTCCCAGATCTCCCCACCAGGTGTTGCATTCGCCAGATCTCTGTGACCTTTTCTAATGCTATACAGCAGTGATGGCGAACCCGTGGCACGCGTGCCACAGCCGGCACGCCGAGCCTTATCTGTGGGCACGCCAGGAGAATACCGTATTTTTCGCTCCATAAGACGCACTTTTTTTCCCCCAAAAAAGGGGGGAAAATGTCAGTGCGTCTTATGGAGCGAATATAGAGCGGCCGGTCCGGTATTTCCACCGCCACCGTGTCAGAATACCGGGCCGGCCGCTCAGCTCTGCAGTGGGACCGTACCTGTCCCTCTATCCAGCGGCACGCTGTCTTCCCGGCTTCTGTAGTGTGCGTGACAGCCGGGTCCCAAGTGCGCATGCGCAAGAAGCAGTGCTCTTTGTGAATGGTAAGGCGGTACCTGGGACACATGACAGATCCCAGAAGCCGCCGGACCAATCACAAAGCGCAGCGCTTCTCGCGCATGCGCACTGGGCATCCGGCTGTCCGACGAGCGCCCACACTACAGAAGCCGGGAAGACAGCGCGCGGCTGGATAAAGGAACAGGTAAGATAGAAAAAAAACTCTGCGGAAGTAAGAGCGGGTACCTGTCAAATTCAGGTACCCGCTCCCCCTCCCTCCCCAAAGGTCAGCAGTCATCTGCACTGTCCGCAGTCTCTGGTCATCCCTGTGCTTTCCGCAGTCTCTGGTCATCTCCTGTACTGTCCGCAGTCTCTGGTCATCCCTGTACTGTCCGCAGTCTCTGGTCATCCCTGTACCGTGTCCGCAGTCTCTGGTCATCCCTGTACCGTGTCCGCAGTCTCTGGTCCGCAGTCTCTGGTCATCCCTGTACCGTGTCCGCAGTCTCTGGTCATCCCTGTACCGTGTCCGCAGTCTCTGGTCATCCCTGTACCGTGTCCGCAGTCTCTGGTCATCCCTGTACCGTGTCCGCACCGTCATCCCTGTACCGTGTCCGCAGTCTCTGGTCATCCCTGTACCGTGTCCGCAGTCTCTGGTCACCCTGTACCGTGTCCGCAGTCTCTGCAGTACTCTGGTCATCCCTGTACCGTGTCCGCAGTCTCTGGTCATCCCTGTACCGTGTCCCAGTCTCTGGTCATCCCTGTACCGTGTCCGCAGTCTCTGGTCATCCCTGTACCGTGTCCGCAGTCTCTGGTCATCCCTGTACCGTGTCCGCAGTCTCTGGTCATCCCTGTACCGTGTCCGCAGTCTCTGGTCATCCCTGTACCGTGTCCGCAGTCTCTGGTCATCCCTGTACCGTGTCCGCAGTCTCTGGTCATCCCTGTACCGTGTCCGCAGTCTCTGGTCATCCCTGTACCGTGTCCGCAGTCTCTGGTCATCCCTGTACCGTGTCCGCAGTCTCTGGTCATCCCTGTACCGTGTCCGCAGTCTCTGGTCATCCCTGTACCGTGTCCGCAGTCTCTGGTCATCCCTGTACCGTGTCCGCAGTCTCTGGTCATCCCTGTACCGTGTCCGCAGTCCTGGTCATCCCTGTACCGTGTCCGCAGTCTCTGGTCATCCCTGTACCGTGTCCGCAGTCTCTGGTCATCCCTGTACCGTGTCCGCAGTCTCTGGTCATCTCCCGCAGTGTACCGTGTCCGCAGTCTCTGGTCATCCCTGTACCGTGTCCGCAGTCTCTGGTCATCCCTGTACCGTGTCCGCAGTCTCTGGTCATCCCTGTACCGTGTCCGCAGTCTCTGGTCATCCCTGTACCGTGTCCGCAGTCTCTGGTCATCCCTGTACCGTGTCCGCAGTCTCTGGTCATCCCTGTACCCGCAGTCTCTGTCTGCAGTCTCTGGTCATCCCTGTACTGTGTCCGCAGTCTCTGGTCATCCCTGTACTGTACTCTGTGTACCCGCAGTCTCTGGTCATCCCTGTACTGTGTCCGCAGTCTCTGGTCATCCCTGTACTGTTAATTAGTTTGCACTACTGTACGAGTTGTTTTTTCTAAACCAAAAGCTCTATATTCAGGTTTCATTGCAGTGTTGGCACTTTGAAAGAAATAAGTTGGTTTTGGGTTGCAGTTTGGGCACTCGGGCTCAAAAAGGTTCGCCATCACTGCTATACAGCCTTCCAATTCACTTCTTGGCTCCAGCCCAGTTATGCATTTATTAAAACCCCCATTTTCCTTCAGTTCCAATACCACCATTACCAAGAATATAAAAAAAGAAAAGCTACCATGCGGTATTCTTTATTAAAATAAGTTAAATTAATCCACAAGTGTGCAATTACATTTAACCACTAGCCTACAGGGCACTTATACCCCCCTTCCTGCCCAGGCCAATTTCCAGCTTTCAGCGCTGTCACACTTTGAATGACAATTGCGTGGTCATGCAACACTGTACCCATATTACATTTTTATCATTTTTTTGAGACAGATAGAGCTTTATTTTGGTGGTATTTAATCATCTCTGGGATTTTCATTTTTTCTTAAACAAACCAAAAACCACTGAAAATTTTGAAAAAAAAAAAAAGTTTCTTAGTTTTTGTTATACAATTTTGTAAATAAGTTATTTTTCTCCTTCACTGATGTGCGCTAATGAGGCTGCAGTGATGGGCACTGATAGGCTACACTGATAGGTGGCACTGATGGGCACTGATGAGGAGGCACTGGTAGGTTGCACAGATGGGCATTGACAGGCATCACTGATGGGCAATGAAAGGCAGCACTGATACATGACACTGATATATGGCACTGACTGGCACTGATAGGCGACACTGATATATGGCACTGACTGGCACTGATAGGCGACACTGATAGGTGGCACTGATGGGTGACATTGAAAGGCAGCTCAGATGGGCACTGATATGTGGCATTGATGGGCACTGGCACGTGGCACTGATGAGCACTGACTGCTGGCACTGCTGGGGCTACACTGATCATCAGGGCACACTTATCAGTGCCCTGATGATCAGTGTACATGTCCCCTCCGCGGAAAGCCGATTACAGGCTCTCCTCACCTCTCGAGCTGTCAGCGTGACAGCTCGAGAGGAGAGAAATGCCGATAACCGGCATTTCTGTGTTTACATGTGATCAGCTGTGATTGGACACAGCTGATCACATGACCGAGCTGAAATCTTCGGCTCTTTCCGTGATCCGCTGTGTCCAAGGGACACAGCGCACCTGCGATGGCCGCGCTACGCGCTCCCTGAGCCGCGCATGCACGGTGAGAATGGAAGGACGTCATATGACGTCCTATCAGAACGAGAGAACCACCTTGCACCCGTCATTGTACTATATGCCTATGATATGAATGTCAACACGGATATAGTAAAGAAAACGCTTTTGTGAGTTAGGGACCTTAGATTTAGCATCTTAAGGGTAAGGATTCATGTGAATTCACAATATATGTAAAATGCTGCATAAATTGTTGGTGCTATATAAAATACCTGTAATAAATAAATAATGCAAGTAATATATGAAAAAAGATAGGGTTGGTGAGCTCAAATAGTGTTATGAGCAGACCGAGGTTTTCCATTAAAAGAGAAGTATGGGAATTTTTTTTTAAAATTATACTTATCTAGGTGGATGCAGCATCTGATCCTTGCGGTTTCTAAGGGTGAGAACTGAGCGAGCAAACACCACTGATCGCTCAGTTCTCCCGTCTGCTAAGAGCAGAGAGGCGGACTGTCAACCTCAGGTTCTTTGCTCTGCGCCCCAATAGCGCTCACTGGAATGCTGCGCTGTGGAGGGAGAGGGATCAGTTGGCTCAGCCTCTCAGCGGAGCATACAATTCGCACAGTCTCACCACAATTGGACAATAGAAGACTGGAAAAACATTGCCTGGTCTTAGGAGTCTCGATTTCGGCTGTGACATTTAGATGGTAGGGTCAGAATTTGGCATAAGCAGCATGAAAGCATGGATCTATCCTGCCTTGTAACTGTTCAGGCTGGTGGTGGTGATGGTGTAATTGTGTGGGGGATATTTTCACAGCACACTTTTGGCCCCTTAGTACCAATTGAGCATTGTATAAAATGTTCATTTTTAATATTTTGTTGAGAATCCTTTACTGGCAATGACTGCCTGAAGTCTGCAACCCATGGACATTACCAAAAATTGGGTTTCCTCCTTTCTGATGCTTTGCTAGGCTCTAACTACAGCTGTCTTCAGTTATTTTTTGTTTGGGGGTCTTTCTGCCTTTAGTTTTGCCTTCAGCAAGTGAAATGCATGCTCAGTTGGGTTGAGATCAGGTGAGTGACTCAGCCATTGCAGAATATTCCACTTATTTTCCTTCAAAAGCTCCAGGGTTGCTTTTGCAGTGTGTTTTGGATCATTGTCCATTTGTACTGTGAAGCGCCATCCAATAAACTTTGCTGCATTTGGCTGAATCTGGGCTGACAGTATATCTCTAAACACTGCAGAATTCTTCCGGCTGCTTCTGTCACATCAATAAACACCAATGACCCAGTGCCACTGGAAGCTATACATGCCCATACCATCACACTGCCTCCACCATGTTTTACAGATGATGTTGTGTGCTTTGGATCATGAGCTGTTCCAAGCCTTCTCCACACTTTTTCTTCCCGTCATTCTGGTACAGATTAATCTTAGTTTCATCCGTCCAAAGAATGCTTTTCCAGAACTGGTCTGGATTTTTTAGATTTTTTTTTGGTAAAGTCTAATCTGGCTTTTCTATTCTTCAGGCTTGATTGTAGACTTTGACAATGATGCGTCCACCTCCTGAAGAGTGTCCTTCACTTGTCTGGATGTTGTGAATGGGTTTTTCTTTACCATAGAGAGGATCCTGCGATCAGCCATCGCTGCTGTCTTCCGTGGACGTCCATGCCTTTTTTTGTTCCTGAGCTCACCAGTGCGTTCTTCACTCAGAACATACCAAACTGTTGATTTGGCCGCTCCTAATGTTGCTGCTATCTCTGATGGATTTGTTTTGTTTTTGAAGCCTTACAATGGCTTGTTTCACTTGCAAAGACAGCTCCTTTGAACTCATTATGTAGGTTCACAGCAACAGATTCCAAATGCAAATACCACACTTAGAATCAACTCCAGACCTTTTACCTGCTTAATTGAAGAAATAATGGAGTAGCCCACACCTGGCCATGAAACAGCTTTAGATTCAATTGTCCAATTACGTTTGGTCTTTTGAAAAAGGCGGGATTGGCTACTCTTTAAGAGCTGTAATTCCTAAACCCTTCCTTCAATTTGGATGTACATACCCTAAAATTAAACCTGAGAGTGTGCACTTTCAGCCCATATCCATTATAGAACTATAGCTTGACTATATTTTGGTTAATACCTGAAAAAATCTAAAATTGTGCCTGTGTCCAAATATATATGGACCCAACTGTATATAGTGTGGACATTTTTGGTTCCTACATCATTTTCACTTCTCTAATCTATGGCTAGACTGAACCATGAAGTCCTGGCCAGGACAGAATCCATTCTACCTCTCTTGCCACAGTGAGAAGTTGATTTTTTTTTCCCCAATGATTTATGTAATCCACCACTGTGGCACTGTCCAACTGAATCTCCATCAGATGAACCTCAAGCAAGATGGTTCAATACTAAAGAGACAGCCCATAGCTCCAGGATGTGGATTGGGAGACAAGACTTCTCCTCCAATCAAGTCTCCTGCACCAACAGGGTGGCAAGGACTCCTCCAAAGCCTGACAGGATGGCATCCATTGTGAGAATCCTCCAAATGATGTGAAGGAAGGTCTTCCCCCCAACTCCAAAGCAAGATTCCTAAACCACCAAGCCAGATACAACCTAGTACTTTGTGACAAATTAAAATCGGTCTGTCTACAGTCTGGATTGACTTGTCCCATAATGACAGAATGCTACATTATAGCGTTCAGGAGTGAAACTGGGCAAATTTAACTGCCTTGAAACAGGCTACCAACCGCCCAGGACTCAAAAGCAGAAGAGAATCTGGCTGTTCCTGGACTGAAGATTTAGAATCTGAAATGGTGAGTCTAAAGTTTCTCCTGTTCAAGGAACACCCTAGTTAGGACTGTATCCAAATTATCAAACAATGATCAGGTCCAGCACAGATTTATGAAGGTTCAGGATCAACCTGAGCTGCTATAACATCTGCACTGGCTTCTGCCCACCTGGCGAGCAGACCTCCGTGCGATACGTCCGTGGCTTGTGGGGACAAGTGTGAGTACATCCCGCTGGTCCCCCTGCTACCGTGCGTGCCAGCGTGTGGCACGTTGCCATATAAATATTCATGCGAGTCCTAGTAAGATTTCTGACTGGTTGATGCTGGTTACAATCCTTTATATATTCTGATAACAGCTGCACAGTCAAAGCCACTTTGATTTCGCACTAACCATTTCATAACAGCATGCTGTCTAAATATACCATGATGGAAATGCCACAAGGTTTGATAAAGCAAAAGTCACAGCCAAGAAGGAGTAAAGGGCAGGACCTGGCAGCAAGAAGAGGGCTTTAGAAAGGGCTTCCAACTAAAATGCTCTATACCAGAATAGCAAGTGTCTTGTTTAGGCAGGGCACTGACAGATTCACAGTATAAATAGATCACTTCTGTACAAAATCATAACCAAAACGGATACAAGACTAACAAACACTTGGGGGAAGTAATAGCTTATCAGAAGACTTCTTGTCTCCACAAAGAAATAACAAAAAAAAAAAAATGCAAAAAAGGAAAGTCTTTGTGGCCTTAGGAGTTTTAAATGATGCAAGGCTGGAAACAGCACCAGTATAGTTTAGGAGTGTTCGCATACTGCATCAATCTGAGATGAAACAGTCTCCTTTCATTTGGAAGTAATAACAGCAGAGTGTATGTGGGAAGGCAGAAGAGGGTGATAGAAGGCCCTTGTGGCCTCTGCGATCAGAGTCTGCAAATAACTGTATTATTTGGATTATTAAGTCTTGCACAAACACAATAAAAACCTCAGCCAAAAGGAAAGAGGATCCAGCCACACCCACTGGAATTAAAGAGGACCCCAAGAGCACAGGGCACCACCAGTAGGCTCACTGTAAGCAGCTAGAGAGCTGGTCTTAGAGTGTGAGCTGGGGGTAACCAGCACTATTCCCCCATGTCTAAAATGAGACCTGTTACGACTACTTGGTGTAAGGCAAAGTATAGGCTCAGGGTAAGAGGCAACGCACTCACAAAACGCAGATGAGGGTCGGATGGCTGCAGGTGATCAAAGTCACCGTAGGAGGGCAGCAGGAACGGATCAAAGATTAAGGTTTCACATGGCTTCTACAAGCAAGAGGAGCTGAGGATGCTTCAACAGTGTATGGCGGGAAAGAGAGCACAGGATGTGTGTGATGCACTAACCAGAAGATATCAGCGCTCAGTACCAGAGTTATCCCCTTCTGCGACAAGATCAGCAGTAACGTGGAATATTGTCACTCAGCAGTCTAAAGGAGAAGTACAGCCAAAGTTTGTTTGGCTGTGCTTCTCCTGTGGATCACAGGAGTGCAGTTCATGACCTCACTCAGCTGGTCAAGGCTGGGGAAAGATCCCGACTTTAACCACTTGCCTACTGGGCACTTACCCCCCTTCCTGCCCAGGCCAATTTTCAGCTTTCAGTGCTCTCACACTTTGAATGACAATTACTCAGTCACCTTTGGTAAAAATAACACAAATCGGTGCATATTACTTGGTCTGTGTGAAAGCTATAGAACCATTCATTGAAAATTGATAACACCTGATCACACCTGATGTATCGATTGCTTATCTAATTTCTTGAGGCCTTAACAAGCCAGGACAGTACAAATGCCCCCCAAATGACCCCTTTTTGGAAAGTAGACATTCCAAAGTATTTAGTAAGAGGCATGGTGAGTTTTTTGAAGTTGTAATTTTTTTCCCACAATCTTTGGAAAATAAAATTTTTTCCCCCCCACAAAAAATTTGTCATATTAACAAGTTATTTCTCACACACAGCAAAGTCATACTTGCAACTACACCCCAAAATACATTCTGCTACTCCTGAATATAACGATACCAAATGTGTGAGACTTTTCCACAACCTGACCACATAGAGTTCCAACATGCAAGGAGCACCATCAGGTGTGCTAGGGACATAAATTACATATCTAATATCTTGACTACCTATTACACTTTTGAAGGCCCTGATGCACCTGGACAATGGAATTACCCACAAAATGACCTCATTTTGAGAAGCAATGGTCCAGGCAGCAGGCAGGGACGTGGTCAGCGACATCAAAAGAAATTGTCCAGACAGCAGACAGGATTATTGTCCATAGTCAGTACAGGAAGCAGGCAGAGATATTGTCAGCACAGACAAACTATTGGTCCAGGCAGCAGGCAGAGATGTGGTCAGCAGCCGCCAAATGAATTGTCAAGGCAGAGACATGGTCAGCACAGCCAAAATATGAGTCCTGGTAGTAGGCAGGAACAAGGTCCATGGTACAGGTAGCAGGCAGATTTGTGGTTAGTTCATGCGGCAGGCAGCGGCATGTTGGCAATAAGTTGGCAGCAGGCAGAAATATCAGGCTAAGGTCCTCGGTCAGGTAAAGCCTGGGCACCAGGGTAGAGGCTTCGTCCCACCCATCTCTTCAAAGCCTCTGGTCTAACAGGCCCTTTTCCGGGAATTATAAAACCCGGAGAAAACCAAAACCTTAGTTTTTTCCACTCCGAAAAACTATTCTGAAGCCCCTCACATATGTGAGACTCCAGGGGTGTTATCTGGAAACATACTACTACAGTAGCAAAGCAAAAGATTAGTCCAAGCGGTGGGCAAAAAATGTGGTCAATTAACAAGCCGAGGTCAGTTTAGATGGTAGGCAGAAACATGGTTGACAGTTTAAACGGCAATCAGAGGCATTGTCAATAAACAGGCCAGGGTCAGTTCCAGAGCAGGCAGAGATATGGTCAATTTAGGTGGCAGGCAGAGGCGTGGTCGAATAACAGGCCAGGGTCATTTCAGGAGCAGGTAGAGGCATGAGGAGTGAATGGCACGAAATTCAGAATTACTTTTACCATACTTCACTAATAATGTAGAGAAGTATGGTAACGGCAGAAACAGTCACCTATGCAGAGGCCTTGTTGGGAAGGACACAGGACAATAAAAACTGGTGTCTCGGCTAACTTCTCTTCTGGAGAACACCCGACATTTTTTTTTCACATCTTTGACCTTTGACGGGGGCAAAATGTTCTGTGTTCATCTGGGAATCCTGGCTGGGCAATAAAAGGGGGAGATGTTAACTGCTCCAGAGTTATGGGAAAGCCATACCGGGTTTTGAAGGGCATATGGAAGAGCAGCATGGGTCCTAACCCTTTGGGGCTGAGGTGACACCCCACTAGTATCTGGCCTTTCTTGAGGTTCTCCATTTCTTGTGGAAGCCACTGCTCTACTAGTGGATGCCACTGTGCTACTTGTGGAAGCCTGCTCCTCACCAAAATGCCTTCGTTTTGGTAGCACACTTACCTGCTCCTCCAATTCTGGAGCAGACCCACTGCTTGAAACAGGCTCGTAATCCAAATCAGAATCAGACTCTGAGAGCTCTCCGCTGCTCTTGTTGGTCATGGTTAAGATTTGGTAGGTCTTCTCACAGAAAAATAATTTTTTGGACAGATGAGGCTGCACTGCTGGGTGCTGACAGAAATGTACTGATGGGCGCTGATGTTAAGTGATAAGGCTGCACTAATGGGCACTGATGTGCAATAATGCACTGCACTGAGGCTGCACAGATACTGTCACTGATGTGCACTGATGGGTGTTAATGAGGATCCACTGATAGGGTGGCATGATGTACACTGATAAGCTGCAATAATTAGCTGCACTGATGTGCACCGATGAGTTGCAGTGGTAGGCAGCACTAATGGGCACTGATAAGCTGCAATGATGAAGCAGCACTGATGAGCACTGATAAGCTGCCTGCAGTGATAAGGCAGCACTGGTGGACACTGATGAGCCCTCACTAATGGGCACTGATGGGAGCTGATGTGCACCGATGGGCACTGATATGCACAGATGGGCTAGGACGAGCACGGATATGCACAGATGGGCTAGGACGAGCACGGATATGCACAGATGGGCTAGGACGAGCACGGATATGCACAGATGGGCTAGGACGAGCACGGATATGCACAGATGGGCACCGACGAGCACGGATATGCACAGATGGGCACCGACGAGCACGGATATGCACAGATGGGCACGGATATGCACAGATGGGCACCAACGAGCACAGATGTGCACAGATGGGCACCGACGAGCACAGATGTGCACAGATGTGCACCGACGAGCACAGATGGGCACCGACGAGCACAGATGGGCACCGACGAGCACAGATGGGCACCGACGAGCACAGATGGGCACCGACGAGCACAGATGGGCACCGACGAGCACAGATGGGCACCGACGAGCACAGATGGGCACCGACGAGCACAGATGGGCACCGACGAGCACGGATGTGCACAGATGGGCACCAACGAGCATAGATGTGCACAGATGGGCACCGACGAGCACAGATGGGCACCGACGAGCACAGATGGGCACCGACGAGCACAGATGGGCACCGACGAGCACAGATGGGCACCGACGAGCACAGATGGGCACCGACGAGCACAGATGGGCACCGACGAGCACAGATGGGCACCGACGAGCACAGATGGGCACCGACGAGCACAGATGGGCACAGACGAGCACAGACGGGCACAGACGAGCACAGATGGGCACAGATGGGCACCGACGGGCACAGATGGGCACCGACGGGCACAGATGGGCACCGACGAGCACAGATGGGCACCGACGAGCACAGATGGGCACCGACGAGCACAGATGGGCACCGACGAGCACGGATATGCACAGATGGGCACAGACGAGCACGGATGTGCACAGATGGGCACCAACGAGCACAGATGTGCACCGACGAGCACAGATGGGCACAGATGGGCACCGACGAGCACAGATGGGCACCGACGAGCACAGATATGCACAGATGGGCACCGACGAGCACAGATGGGCACCGACGAGCACAGACGAGCACAGATGGGCACCGACGAGCACAGATGGGCACAGATGGGCACCGACGAGCACAGATGGGCACCGACGAGCACAGATGGGCACCGACGAGCACGGATATGCACAGATGGGCACAGACGAGCACGGATGTGCACAGATGGGCACCAACGAGCACAGATGGGCACCGACGAGCACAGATGGGCACAGATGGGCACCGACGAGCACAGATGGGCACCGACGAGCACAGATGGGCACCGACGAGCACAGATGGGCACCGACGAGCACGGATATGCACAGATGGGCACAGACGAGCACGGATGTGCACAGATGGGCACCAACGAGCACAGATGTGCACCGACGAGCACAGATGGGCACAGATGGGCACCGACGAGCACAGATGGGCACCGACGAGCACAGATATGCACAGATGGGCACCGACGAGCACAGATGGGCACCGACGAGCACAGATGGGCACCGACGAGCACAGATGGGCACCGACGAGCACAGATGGGCACCGACGAGCACAGATGGGCACCGACGAGCACAGATGGGCACCGACGAGCACAGATGGGCACCGACGAGCACAGATGGGCACCGACGAGCACAGATGGGCACCAATGAGCACAGATGGGCACCGATATGCACAGATGGGCACCGATATGCACAGATGGGCACCGATATGCACAGATGGGCACCGATATGCACAGATGGACACGGATGTACACAGATGGGCACCAATGAGCACTGATATGCACAGATGGGCACTGATATGCACTCACTGGCGAGCCTTGATGAGCACAGATAGAGCACCGATGAGCACGGATAGGGCACTGATGAGCACACTCACAGTTTAGAAACCAATTCTCTCCTTTCCTCACACTCGGTATTGGTGGTACAGAGCAGACAGTGATGACTGCTGCTCTGATCAAAGAGCAGCTATTGTCAGAGAGAACTGAGCTGTAAGTATGCAAGTATGATTTAGGGGAAATAAAAAACGAAAACACATACTTCTCTTTAAGTAAATGAGCTATCTCCCGATGCTTGGCCTGACCAGCCTAATCACAAAGAGTTTCAAAGACAGTGAAAGCGCCGAAGCAATATGAGCGGCTCTGGACCTGGAAAGCACTGCCCAGCTAACTTTTACCAGAATAAAGTCTGGAAAACATATTGTGCCCCTTAGCGGTGGGTTTCCAAATAAGTTATCACACATGGGGGGTCTACTGTAAAGGCTGCAAGAAGGGCAATCCACAAACATACAGAAATAACAGGACATCTTCATAAACATGGGGACATCTAGTGGCAACTACAAATATTACCTTACCCCCACTAGAACTTGGTCTGCCCTTTGGCCAGCTAACAGTGGGCAATAAGTCCCACTTTACCGACAGCATACTACAATCTGAGAGGAAACATACAAATACATTAAATAGAATGTATAAACAAACAGTGCAGCGCTCAATACAAATCAAACTGATAATAAACAGAAAAATCCCACTCGTGAAAATTATACAATAAGTGAAAATAGATAATTAATATTTGAACGGTATTAAAGAGTCTGTAATGAAGTTCAGATCAAATCAGTCCCACATGCCGTGATGAAATCAAGAAACTTCCAAAATAACCAGTTTGACACCATCCACTGACATGTAAGGCTTACTGGAAGGATTGTGGCCCCCTATTAAGAGTGGTCAAACAGCACTCTAATAAGATATTGGTAACATCATTGGTAAATGGTCCTCCAAAGACAGCCAGAAAGGGTGACAAAGAATGGTCTGGAATGAATGAAGCCGGAACTCGCATCAAAGTACTGTATTTATTCAGGAGGTTCCCTGCAGGGCAGTCAATGACACAGCATTTACTTTTTGCTCTTGGTTTCAACTTTTGTCACATTCTATTTTCATCTTCATCTGGCAATTACTTTCCTTTCTCTGTTCTGAAATAGTGTGTCATGGACTGCCCTGTAGATTGTACGTGTAGGTATCCTAGATCATACTAAGTTATCATTGTCAATAACACAATAGCATTGGTTTCACCTCAACATTTTCCCTACTTTGCTACACCATTTGATCATTCTCACCTGGTACACCTGGTTGTGGCTGTTGTGCTGGGTAAGGCGGCCAGGGTCCAGCCCTCGGATAGGCATTAGAATGTGGGACAGAGGCAGGCTGGAATGGGACAGATGGAGGGGGACCCATTGTTGTGTGCGTCGGTTGAGGCATAAATACTGAAGGCACTGGTGGTTGAGGTGGAAATCCAGTGCTAGCTGGAGGTTTGGATAAAGCCTACAAATTAAAAAAAAAAAAAAAAATCAATGCATGAATTCCAACAATTGTCTACCCAGATTCAATATGCCAAAACTAGATGATGAGATAAGTTAAATATATTTATATGACCTCCAAACACCTTTAGGGACTATGTCGATTGATTTTAGGCTTCTGTTAATTGCTTCTGTTTGAGAGGCTTCTGAGATCATTCAGTTTAGAGACAGGGTCATTTCACCTGTAGTTAATCTACTCCTGACTTGCATTTGATATTTCAAGCTTGTTTTGCATTCCTTTAGACTTTTATAGGAATGCAAACATTTGACACAAGCAAAAGCCTGCAACACAGCATATTTAGAAGACTAAAAATGATTTAGTACTCACTGTAAAAACCTTTTCTCGGAGTTCACTGAGAGACACAGAAAGAGGGAGAGATATAGAGGGAGAGATTATTTGGGTGCTAGGTAGGTTAAAACATGCAATTCAGTACATCTGTGGTGGTGGGGGAAGACCTGCAGGTACTATGGATCTCTACCAAGTATCAAAATATATAAACAATTCCAATGTAACAACACAACATTCCTCAGACGTTCTCACTTAATACTGTGGGCAATATTCTACACCATCAACTGTTAACCACACTTTACAATCTAGGTTGAGACTCCTTAAGTACAAACATCCCTATTGCAGGCCTTGCCATGTTCCTATAGCAAGTTTCCTGTGAAGGCAACTGTGTCCAAATCAGCAGTGGCTGTTTAGTTCTGAATTGCAAGTTTTAACCTATCCAGCACCCAAAGAAACTGCTGAGGAAGCGGTTCATCTGCAAAACGTGTCGAGCGAATGATTGAAGCAACACTTAGCAATTAGCAGTCACGTTGGGAGTTTTGGAACCCTAGATGAAACTACGATACATTATTGCCCAAGGGTGCTTTTTATTACTTTGGATGAAAACTGAAAATCAGTCATTTAAATTCTAGATCAATAAAACTGTTTTTCAATTTTATATTTGATTTTCATAACCTAAAAAAGTCTGTTTCCAAATTTCAATTAAATGAAACATGCCATACTTACCTGCTCTGTGCAGTTGTGTTGCACAGAGCAGCTCCAACCTTCCGCTTCCTGGGTCCCCCGCCTATGCTCTTGGCCCCTCCCTCCTGTCCCCAGAGCAAGCAACTTGCTATGGGAGCATGCAAGCAGGCTCACTCCTGAGCCACTGCTCTGCGTGTCCATGCACACATATACACACACACACACACACAGAGCGGCAGCTCAGCCCCGCCCCCTCTCCTCATTGGCTCCCACTGCTATCTCAGCCAATGAGGGGAGAGTGACCAGAGAGCCGAGACTGTCGTGCACACAGCTGGATGGCGATGGGTCTCAGGTAAGTATTAGGAGGGGCAGAATTCTTTATTTAAAAATGGCAATAGGAATCAAATTTGCACTCAGCTTTGCCAACTTATTATTGGCTGAATGGGAGAATAAGTATGTATGTAATTAAAGATCTCCCATTCTACAAGAGCCTAATTGATGAGCTCTTCTTTTTTTGGCAAGGTAGTGAGCATAGGTTTCCATTAATTCTTGTATAGGCTGAACAACAATAACATTAAGTTAGCTTATCAGTTTTGATTGTAATATGATTCACTTCCTGGATGTCACAATATTTAGAATTACTGATAGATTATACACTAAAGCATTTTTTAAGGCAGCAGATAGGAATAGCTATTTAGATAAGAATAGTGGTCATCATCCTATCTGGCTAAAGAATATTCTTAAAGGCCAAAATCACTAGGGTGAGGAGAAATTGTACAAGAGACAATTATTACTTTGAGCAGTCTCAGATATTAAAGCAAAAAGTTTATGGATCAGGGTTACTCCTCTCAGGATATAGATAAGGTGGTACAGGGTGTGGCTCTAATTCCTAGGGAGAAATGGATGCAAGATTCAATGACAGATTATGGCAATGATAAGCAGGATATATAGCAACAGAGATTTATTTAAAGATTCCATGCGCAGTACAGAAAGGTGGAGATTTTTCAGACAATGGGCAATATTGAAAATGGAGATGATGTTAGAACCACTCCTTCTTAATAAACCAGGATTTATATATAGAAGAACCTCAAATTTTGCGGATAGAATAATTTAAAAAAATCCTTGATCCACCAAAAAAGCAACTAATCTTTCTGAACTGTAAAGGTTTTTTTTCCCCAAGGAAAGTGCAGGGCCTGTAGAACTAACACTGTTAATAGAAGACATGACATATTTGTCTCTGAAAATACGAAAAGTAATATATGACCAGTGACTTTATTTCATCCGATATAAAACGCATGTTGTATATGTAAATCAGTGCAATATGATTGACAGAACACATATACAGCTCCTTAAAAAAGTATTCATACCCCTTGAAAAATATTCCACATTTTGTCATGCAACAACCAAAAACAAATGTATTTTATTAGTATTTTATGTGATAGACCAACACAAAGTGGCACATAATTGTGAAGTAAAAGGAAAATAGTAAAGGTGATTAAGGTTGATTTAAAGTGTTGCCCAGGTCTGCTTCCCACTTGGAGACGTAGGGAAGTGTGTGAGAGCCCATGGTGTCTGTTAAGGCTGTGTAGAGATCAGACACTAGGCCTTTTAGGAAAGGGTCCTTACGGCAGAGTTTTCAAATGGATGTAAGCATTTGAGAGAGTCTTGTTGGCATTTAAGGAGTGGTGTATTTCAGTAGAACAGAAAATCTCAATGGATAGTTGCCAGTGTTTCTGCAACGATTTAATGCCGTCACAGGAGTTTGTCGATATTTTTAGTTCCAATTCCCGCCACCAATGGAATGCCAATGGGTTATCATGAGTGGGAGGAAATTGGGGCGTATCCAGAATGCCCTAAGAAGGAAAATAGAGGAAAATCAGGCGAGCAGAGAAATTCAGAGTCCCACAGGCACAACAAGTGTAATAGGATCAGGTCGGATTAAAAAGGCTGAGAAAGGGGTGGATCTCAAAAGAGGTTGTACACAGGAAAGAATGAGCATTCTGAAATTGCCAGGTGAGCCCAAACTGGCATTTGAGATAGCGTGAAGGAAACATGAGGTGCAATTTGTGCAGCAACATAATAGGATCTGAGGTTAGGAATAGCCAGACCCCCCCACTGCCATTCACCGGTACAGTGGAAATGGGAGTTTAAAGCTTCTGAGTAAGAATAACTCTTGAGCAGTGTCTAGAATGAAACACAGATACTCCAAGTAATGAATCTGTTTTAGCACTGTCTTCTGAAGGCTCAAGAACCAAACTCTTGCTAGACCTGGATGGTTTAATCTATGTTTTTCGGGCAGAACCTGTGCAGACTTTTCCCTTAAAATTAGGTTGTCCAGGTATAACACAATCAGGATGCCCTGGGACAGAAGAAAGGCTAACACAATGGACAGCACCTTCGTGAATACTCGAGGTGTAGAAGCAATGCCAAACATTAAGGCTGAGGGACACACAGCAAAAGGAAGAAATTTGCCGATGTGCTGGAAAAATAGGGACAAGTATGCATCTTTGATGTCCACAGAGGCCAGATAGAGGGAGGCTGTGGCAGACCTCATGTATTCCATGCTGAAAATTTAGGATCTTACGATCCAAGATAGGGCAAATTGGGCGATAACACCCTGCTCAACAAAACCCAGGAGTTGCTGTATGGAAATCTACAGTACCTATCTGTGACGCAAGTAGGCTGGAAGACCTGAACAGAGGAGGAAGCTGAGTATTTAATTCTAGCTTGCAGCCCTGGAAACCACCTACTGCATTCAAGTATCAAAGATTCTGGCTGTCCGCAAAGGCAGACTTCTGCCCACTTTGGGAAGTGGGGCCTCATGCACAGAGACAGGGTGTCAGGCTTGGGTTTGGCTTTGAAAGTTGATGCCTGGGAGTAACAAAAGAAACTCTTCTTAGCATTTGAAGAGGGATGATCCTTCTTGCCCTGAGCCATAGGCTTCTTCTGCTGGAGCAGAGGAATAGTCTTGCCCCTGCTAAAATCCTTGATAAAAAAAAGTGTCCAGGGCAGCTATGAAGAGTTGCTGCCCCTTAACAGGGCATCCTTTTTGCATGCCGATTACAACACCCAATGCTTTAAATACAGATACCTCTTCATGTTCATTAAATGTAGATTCATATAGTAAATGAGGAGAGACCTTATTAAAAGTTAGGAATCATCCTAAATAGTTAATGGATTCATTCTCATGGCTTAGCCAGGTCAGCTAAAGGCTGGCAGGCAAGTGTCACAGCCAGGGCAGGTTGCAAGGCAGGGCTTACCAAAGAGAACAGGGTTTTAGTAATGGCTTCCAATCACCTGTCGATGGGGTCCTTAGCATAAACAATTGCTACACAATTACCATTCCTTTTCAAACTGCAGGCACTGTATTTTTTTTATAAATTCAAAGCAATATGGCAACTTGAAGGCATTCTGTACATAACTGGTATACAGAATGGCCCCAGAAATGTTATTTCCTGCTTGGGTAAAGGACTATGCACAAGTCAGATTCTTGGCATCCCTTGCAATAAAAATGTCATTTTTGGTGAGATACTCCCCCTAAGGGTTAATCCAGTCTATAGGGATGCAGACACTGCAATTTTCAGAACACTGAAAATGCATCAGCTGCTTGGAATGAATTAGTCACTCATTCCAAATCAGTCTTTCGCAAGGCATGATCTAAAAAAAAGAACTATTTATTTAGACCCCATTCAAATTATGCTACTATGAAAATGCGGGCAGAATCATGCATTTCTGCCCGCGTTTTCGGAAACATGGCAAGACACGTGGCACACTTGTGATGACATTATTTCTTAATAGCACCTCAGTTTTGGTGTGATTTTGCCATGTTTGTCACGCAATGCTCCACACCTGAAAAAGGTGTAGGAGCTCCTTTGGCACATTTGTCGTGTCGTAGGGCAGCCCATTCACATAAAAAAAACAAAAACATATGCAGCAATGCATGTTCCCAGTAGATGAAGTGAGAATGGAGCCTTAGAATAGATGCAGGTAAGAATCTGCAACAAAGTTTGTTAAAAAACGTTCCAATATACATTAATCATTTAGAGAGATGTTGGTGTTAGACAGTTGACAATAGGAAAGTTAGCCGAGTACCTCTTTAAGCACATGTGCATCCTCCATATGGATCATCAAAGGTTTGCCAAGACAAGAAACTGCAAAGCTCTCTGCAGCAGCTAATACAATGCACTCAAGTCTAAAAAGTGCCACAATGCAAAGCCCAGTGGCCAAAGGTCACATTCCAGGCTAGTCCTGCAATTGTCCGGTCCAATGTGGTCTAGGTGCAATATTTAGATTTAAAACGCTGAGGAAACACACATCCAGTTAGAAAACAAAGAAAAAAAGGCAATCTTGACAGAAGAAAAAAAAATACCTAGCAAAAAGGTTAGACTGTCCCCAGCATTCCAGAGAAAGGACATCCATCCTCCTTGACACTAGGAAATAGCTTAGTTTTACTAGGAGTAGGATGGGTTATACTGGGCTGGCACGGTTTTTGTTTTCCAGTGTCCAAATCCTCTTGTAGGTGGCAGTATAACCCAACAACCTCTGAATTCCTGTGTCCCTCTATGAATGATAAAGAAACATTTTTTCCTTTTTCTGCAATGATTATCTTTTTAACCAGAAATTTGACATTAACTTTCTCAGTTGCAAAGGGAACTATTCACTGTTTAAATTTTGGAGAATTCAATATTCAGAATTTAAAACATGGCCAAAAAAGATACAGACAGTGAGAGCAACTGTGCAGTGGACAGAGAATAGTGTGGGGAAAAGAAGAATTTTATGAAAACATCATTTAGCATGCCTACCCCTGTTCCCAAACTATACATGTAGCCTAAAGACAAAAGTACTTGCAGCCCCAAGGATTTGGAACTGGGGAAAAATTACACACATCCACTGTGCAGTTTTCACAAAATTACTCTTATACTGCACTTAAGACAGCTGAATTACATAAATAAAGAAATGCAGTATAACTACTGATGTCAAAGCAGTATTGGAAAAAACATGGAACACTAAATATGAAAGAAAGTAGACTAAATACAGTGAACTGGAACAGTACTGCCACCCAGAGTTGGAAGCATACTAGCGCAAAAAAGCACTGATCCTCAGTAGTCTACAATTGTGGCATAAAAGGGACAGAAATAGGCACCCACCTGTATACTTCCCTCTTTGTATGCAGGAACTTCTGATACTTTGCTTGGTTTGGCTATAGGTGAAGGATGGTTACTGGATGCCTTAGAGGCATAGGGCTGACCACTCACAATCTGTCCCTGAGCATTCAGCAGACGATTCTGCAGCTCATGTACTGATCTCTTCAATACAGAAAGAGAAATGTTAAACATGGGATGGGAACTATCCTGTTATAGAACAATAAATGATAATATACGTTCAAGGATAAATCACTATCTGTATACCAGATTCACATTAACCCTACCATATATAAACAAAAACCCTACCATATTTAGAAGTTTAAAAACTTATTCAACAATTGTATTCTTAATCCAATAATTTCTGTTCTATTAATACAAACTGATAATGAAGAAAATAAAATTAACGGTTTAACCAGACAAAAAAATAAATATTTATTCTTATTTAAGTTTTGCGCTCAAAATCTTAAAGTAAATATTATACCTCTTCAGAGTCCTCAGGTAAGTAGTTCATGGCAGCAGTTACATTTCCCTGAGATGCCAGTAAACTGGCATATTGTGCTACCTTCTCTGCAAGCACAGGGCATTGTGGAGGCTGTACTGCCCCTCGAAGTAATTCAATCGACTTTCGTAATACCATAGTTTTCTCCACCAGTTCCCTATAAAAGAATGTGGTAATCAGAACACATTAGGTAATAAATAAGATGAAAGCAGGAAAAAAAAACCTGGCTCGCTATATGGAAGCATTAGCTGGTAGCTAAGCCTTTACCACCAACATCTGTTTTCTAGAAATCCATTTTAAAACATTTTAGAACTCTAAGACAAATTCTCAGCAGAATTCTGTGTTACCTGCAGGGCAAGTGGTGTTGAGGTTTCATGAGTTCTGACCCAGCACTCTGCTAACTTGTCCACATTCCCCGAAGATATGTAACACAAGCAGGCTTGGGTAGATAGACTTCTGTCTCCTTCTGATTCTAAACGATTTCCAAGGGCATCTAGATGAAAAAAAACACTTATATTTTTATGATTCAGCACATTGTTTGCGATCTGTTAGCTGTGCTTGGCACACCAACAACTTTAATACGAATGCAATTTACAATGCTCCTATCAAACATTTAAGAACAAGTACCAAGACCTGTCTGAATGCAAGGAAAAAACAGACATTTTTTACCTATAAAATTTGGCAAGAGGGTATGCTGTCTCAGGGATGTCCAATTCATATCGCGCCGGGCAGGTAGGTTTTTTTTTTGCCTTTAGCACTGCTGTAGGCAAGCAGCGGGCTCGTCTGTCAGGTGGGCGTTGCCGCCTGATTGCTTCCACACAGCCCACAGTGCCATCCGCCGCCCCCCCTGCCCGCTATATGTCCTGGGCTCCGCTTGCCCATCTGCGGGTTTGGGACCAGTCAGTGGGTGCCGGTGGTATGTCAGGATGCGGGTATAGAGGCGGGAGGAGAGCAGACACATCCACTCCCCTCCCCGTCCTGACCCGGAAGTGATGTTACATCACCTCCAGCTCCCCTTTGACAGATTCCCGGCCATCGAGGCCAGGAAATAATGTAATGCAGTGCGATGTGCAGTGCATTACATTCAGAGGAGCACAAGGGGAGACATGCAGGGTCTTTTAGACCCTGGATGTCTCAAAAAAAGAGAACCTGTCAACAAAAAATCATCCCATAGGGGACATTTTGTCCCCTATGTGATAAAGTAAACATAAAAAATAAAATAATGTGGTGGCATAAGTGTGCACACCCGCTTATAACTGGGGATGAAGCGGTGTTCAGAATTAAGCAATCACATTCAAGATCATGTTAAATAGGAATCAGTACACACCTGCCATCATTTATATTTAAATAAAGTTCAGCTGTTTTAGTAGGTCTTTCCTGACGTTTTCTAAATTGCATCCTACAGCAAAAGCCATGGTCCGCAGAGAGCTTCCAAAGCATCAGAGGGATCTCATTGTTAAAAGGTATCAGTCAGGAGGAGGGTACAAAAGAATTTCCAAGGTATTCGATATACCATGGAACACACAATGAACACCATCATCATCAAGTGGAGAAAATATAGCGCAACAGTGACATTATCAAGAACTGGACATCCCTCAAAATTTGCTAAAAAGACGGAGGAAAAACTGGTCTGGGAGGCTGCCAAGAGGCCTACAGCAACATTAAAAGGAGCTGCAGGAATATCTGGCAAGTACTGGCTGTGTGGTGCATGTGATGATAATCTCCCATATTCTTCATTTGTCTGGGCTATGGGGTAGAGTGGCAAGACGGAAGCCTTTTTTTACGAAGAAAAACATCCAAGGTTGGCTAAATTTTGCACAAACACATCTGAAGTCTCCCAAAAGCATGTGGGGAAAATGTGTTATGGTCTGATGAAACCAAGGTTGAACTTTTGGCCATAATTCCATAAAATATGTTTGGCGCAAAGAAAACACTACACATCTCCAAAAGAACACCATACCCACAGTGAAGCATGGTGGTGGCAGCATCATGATTTGGGGCTGTTTTTCTTCAGCTGGAACTGGGGCCTTAGTCAAGATAAAGGGAATTATAAACAGTTCCAAATACCAGTTAATATTGGCACAAAACTTTCAGGCTTCTGCTAGAAAGCTGAACATGAAGAGAATCTTCATCTTTCAGCATGACAACAACCTAAAGCATACATCCAAATCAACGAAGGACTGGCTTCACCAGAAGAATAAAGTTTTGGAATGGCCCAGCCAGAGCCCAGACCTGAATCCGATCGAAAATCTGTGGGGTGATCTGAAGAGGGCTGTGCACAGGAGATGCCCTCGCAATCTGACAGATTTGAAGTATGTTTGCAAGGAAGAGTGGGCAAATATTGCCAAGTCAAGATGTACCATGCTGATAGACTCATAGCCAAAAAGACTGAGTGCTGCCGAAAAATACACCAAGAATAAAGAATTTGACAAGAGAGAGAGAAAAGTCAAAGTTTTTGAAGAACAGTGAACAAGGCTAAAACCTGTCCTTTCAGAAACCTTAAGGCCAAGTTCTGGTCAAGACCTGACTGTAGGAAGGCCAGAATGCAAGACACAGAGTAATGTCTGGGTTCGGAGTGCCTGTGCTTAGCTCACACGGCCAATAAGGATTTCCAGGTACGATAGTAGATCTTTCTGGAAGTGGCTTTTCTTGCTTTTGTGTACAAATGACAGACTTAGAGACCCTCTGTCTCTTAAGACTGGAGCTTCAACAGCCAGATTGAGAAGCAGGTACTTGTGTACTAGGTTCTTCTCAGCCCGGCCAGTTAAATACAAAGAGAATCACAATCTTCTCTTACTCTACTTTTTGAAGCAGGTGAGGTAGAATTTGCACTGGGTGGGGGAAAAGCATAGACTAGAAGGAGTTGAGACCACAGGATAATCAAGGTATTTAAAGCCAGTACTGGAGGATCCTTGGTCCTGGCCGAAAAACAGAGGTTTGTTGTTGAATATAGAGGCGAGGATATCCATACCTGGGATCCCCCATTTCTGATATATCATGCTGAGAATGTCTGGGTGAAGGGCCCATTCCCCTCGATTCAAGCAGTGGCAGCTGATTTGATCTGCGCTCCAGTTAACCACTCCTGGGATGTGGACTGAAGAGGCTGCTGGACAGTGAGACTCTCTCCATGAGATCATCTGTCTTGCTACGTTCAAGGATGCATGACTCCTGGTGCCCCCCCTTGTTGGGTGATGTGGGCTACAACCATGAAATTTTCTGTGCCCTAAACTGGTGTCTTTGCACAGGAAGGAACCAGTGCTGTAGAGCCATTCTCATTGCTCTGAGCTACAGGAGATTGATGGGGAGCTTGGCTTCCACAGATGACCATGTTTCCTGGACTGGAACTCTCCTCCCCAGACTTTACTAGCATCTGTTATCACGTTCCAGTGTTCTACTGTTAAGACTGGACTGAACATCCATTAAGTTAGGGAATTCCTATTGCTAGGGTATTGCTCGACTGAACATGGGTATGGGAGTATGGGTAGCTAGAGAGAAGGAGCATGTTTGTTTTAGGTTGACAAGATTTTGTGTTGGACAGATCTTGAATGAAAATGGGCAAAAGGCACAGTCTCAAAGTAGGCTACCATGAGGCCTAGAGCTTTCATGGAGAATCACAATGTGGGATGCCTCTTTGACCTCAGTTCTTGAGTGTGAGCTCTGAGAGAGAGCATTTTCTTCTCTGGAAGGAAAACCTTTGCTTTGGATGTGTCCAGTATTAGACCCAGGTATTCCCAAGTATTGTCCTCCAACTAACAGCCAAGAGCATCTGAATTGTCCTGTGGACCTTTGCAGATAGCTGGAATGGAGATAAGCCTTTAGGAGACTGTCATCTTGATAAACCTGTGACCTGGATGCCCTTAGTTCCGAGAAGAGAAAGAAGCAAAGAAGAGGTGCAAGACTGAAGGAAAGGCAGGAGTTCAGCTTTAAAAACAAAGATTTGCAGAGTCCATTAAGGGACACAGGAATATTGATACAGTTGTATATGCTGCCGCCTACAAGATGACTTTGACACTGGCAAACAGAAATATTGTACGCCAGTCCCCATATAATCTTTCCTCTACACAACAACAACCCTTAGTTTCGTGGTAAAGCAGTATCAAGAGCATGAACATAAACATAGAGAGTGGAACAGAGTCCCACAATGGACTGCAGGAAAATTATTTTATGACAAACACAAAAATCCTGTTTTCTGTCTGACCCATTGAGGAAAAGAGGAATTCAGATACAGTCTGGAAGCCGAAAAACAGTCCAGCTGAGGGGTGGTTAACACAGCAACAACAGCTAGCAGGCCCGATGAAGAGAACTAGGGACTACTTCAGGCCAAGAGCTACCTTAAGCAGCAAAGCCTAGAGTGAGAGGAAACGAGAATAAATCTGATGCCTAATATCAGGACACAGGAAGTCACCAACAGACAGGAATGTCTCCACACAGAAGGGAACACGGAACCTGAACCAGCTGAGCAACCAAACAAAACAGGTAGAACAACAACAATTTGCCTGAATAGGATGAACAACATACAATAGAAGTTAGATCCAAGCTCCAAACTAATGAAATAGGAACCACCAGAAGGAAAGAAGGATGAAACTAAAACATGCTCTTCAACACCCAGAAGTGTTTCTAGGGCCTTGTAAAACAATCCTGCATCACCTGCCGAACCCTGACCACAAGCCATGGGTCTAAGAATCTTTTGATGACCCAAGGTCCAGCTAAGCGTCAACAGCCATGGATCGAAGGACAGGCATGCTAGCAGAACTGCTAAGAACTTGCACATGAATAACAGAAGGAGGACCTTCCTATAGAGGCTGGAGACAGTTATGAAAGATGAGCTATACGTGAACCGGTTCCACAAAGACTTGTGGACATACTTTAACCCCAGAAGAAAGTACCTGCAGCAGGAAGCTAGCATGTTCCAGCAGCTGACAATTCAGGGAGGCACAAGGCCCTCCAGAGATTATGTCTGCCCCCCACTTAGAATCTGAGGTGCACTTAGTTGCGCAAACCTCTCATTTAAGTGCAGAGACTACGATTAGAAGATTGCCTGTTTACAAGGTATTGTCCTTAAGGGAGACAGCGCAAGCAAGGCTAATACTCTCTGCATCATCTAGCACAGGGACTAAGCTACTTTACCTGTCGCAGTGAGGACTCCAACTCTTTCCCTGAGGTGAAATCACTGCAAAACTAAGTGATAGCCAATGAAATCCAAACCGAAAAATTTGCTTTAGGAAGAATACCCTGATGTGGAGGGATCTGTCTGTTCTGAGAAACCAGATGGTAGCTCTGGAAATGAAAGTACTCCAGTGTGTGAAATCCCCCAGCTATGGGGAGAACAATGCAACTGGTCCATAGAGACAGGGCCATTAGCCTTTTCAGAACCCAAGCCCAAAACAACAGAGAGTAGAGCTAAAAAGGTTAAGGAAAAAAAAGAGAGTGGAAGGTCACCTTAAGGAACGGATCCCCTAACGGTCCACACTTCTACGACGGAGGAAAACCAGTGGGAGTAAAAAATTTGACAGGCTCCCAATGGTTACAGTGAGGGTTTCAGCCTGAATGACTTTACATTCAAAGCAAGTCTTCTGATACAGGCTCAATGCTGAGGTAATGCCACAATTCCAGGCCTGGAAAACACCTTGATTGCCAATCTTTACCAGCACACAAAGGTCTGGAAAGTGCCACACTGTGCAGCCCCAGTTCCCAAAGGTTCCATTCAAGGCTAACCCTGCATGTTTAGTGCAGTGGGGCACGGGTATGGCATTCAAAGTCAGGCTTAGAAAAGACCAAACTAAATAGCTGCTATATATATATATATATATATATATATATATATATATATACACACACACATACACACACACACACACACACACACACACACACACACACACACACAAGGACCAGCTCAAACAGCAGTGTAGCAAAGAATCTTGATTGATGTGGATTGAAGATGAATCCAGGGAAAGAATACTAGCAAAAATATCTTTAAATCTTGAAAAGAAGATGTCCTAGGACACTAGGAAGTAAAAACACTGAGGCATGATGGGAGGGATGGCTTTCTATTTTTCTGTCTGCCAGTGTCAAAGCCTGTAGGCATCAGTTTAACCCTGCTGTATCTCAATTTCTGTGTCCCTCAACAGATGAGAAAAACTGAAATATCTTTCTTTCCTCTTGCAGGCTCCCACCCTAGTTTTGGTTCCCCAAAAAATGCTTACCACATAGGTCTGCATATTCCTCAGGTTTGGAATAAGTCAGCAGCAGAGCTAGAGCTTCTTTCCAATTCTGCAGGCTACAGCCCAGGACCACATCTTTCCACTTCTGCTGGACTACAGAAGACAGAAGCTGGATGAAGAAAACATGAGCATCGGATGACATTGGCAGAAGAAATAGATTTTCTTGAAAAAACAATTACAGAATTTTTTTTGACAGCCAGTAACATTTTGCTGACTGGGACGTATGTGAACAGCATAAACAAACAGAATAACTGAATATAAAAATCTGGAAAAACTAAAAAGTGTCATGAAATTCTTCCTCTTAGATGATCCTTGCACGGTTTACCCAGCAAATCATATAAATTCAGGCTGTCTGTAAGGCTAGGTTCCTACCTAGGTGTTTTGTAGAAATGCACTACAGTCCATTTAGCACGATTTCCTATGAGTGAAGTTCACATGTCCACGTTTTTAACCGGTGCGGTTTTTTAAAAGGGTCATGGACTAGTTTTAAACGCAAAACGGTGTGTTTTGGTTCAACAGACTTCAATGGAGACACTGCAGAAACAAATGTAGTGCATTTTTTATGCATTTTGAATCTGCCCAGCAATAAGTAGGCCAAAAAAAAAAAATGCATCAAAAAATCACCACAAAAAGCACTGCAGAAATGGATCAAACGCAAACTGCACAGGTGTGAACCTAGCCTTAGTGATTCCTTCACCTTGCTAACACAAGCTAAGCTTGCCTACCTTGAGTAAAGACAGGCATGTTCTTTTGGAGAGTGCAATCTTAATTATAAGGTGAAGGAATCACTAAGGAACAGTGTCCATTTGTATGAAGATTCACTGGGTGAGCAGTTTTTTTTTTTTTTAAGAATCATCGAAGAATTTTATTATGTATTATGCTGGGACGCTTTTCTTATCTTTTGATTTTTACCTGGACTTTTTTTTTTCTATTATTCCTGGGTGAGTTACCTAGACAAAAAAGTATATTGTACGCCCCTTGAGGGTTAGGGACTGATGTGAATGTACAATATATGTATGTAAAGCGCTGCGTAAATTAATGGCGCTATATAAGTACCTGAAATAAATAATTTGTAAAATTTGATGTCAGTCCTGGCTGTCTCCTACGCATTATGGTGTTCCTCTCTCACTTCCTGGTTATCACACAACTGTTTGCACTACCAATAGAAATCGTGCAGGTATGAGACAACAAAAGCAGCTGGCAGAACAATTAGAAGAATTGTGTATAAATTATTATAAACATAATAAACAGAACTAAAAAACAATACACATCAAAATGGAATCATATGCAGATAAAAAATATGTATAGGAGTCAAAGTGACAATGCGAGGAAATAAGAGTTCCAATATATGTGGTAAAATGTAGAGATGAATGTGTGCCCCCACATCCTCGAGATTAAAGAGCACCACCACCAAAGAAACAACGGATGCTTACCAGATCGAGTGGAATCTTATAATGTTAAGAGTCTGAAAAGCATGGATTCAAAGCAGATCTGAATGCTGCTCAATTGTTTCTCTCTATCCTAATTTGGGATCTCCTCCGTTCGCCTCCAATTTATCTCACATTTTTCCAATGGTGGCATTCACATATATTATAAAAAAAATGTAGGAAGATGTACATAGCGTAAAACCGTATGGCTAGTTTTATTAAAATCCAGTAATACACTCACATATCCAAAAGTAAAAAAGCGCTTTGTATACATCCAAAGTTGTCCTGGGAACCGGACAAAACTCATGCAGCATTTCACACAGCGTGATGACGTAACAAGCGCAAGCTCCACCCAATGAGTTTCATTAGAAGTGATGTCTTTGGGGGCACGAACGATGTCACTTCAGACGAAATGCGTTGGGAGGCGCTTGCGCGTTTGGATATGCTGCATGAGTTTGGACCGGTTCCCTGGACTGCTGTGGATGTATACAAAACGCTTTTCAGTTTTGGATATGTAAGTATATTAACTGGATTTTAATAAAACTAGCCATACGGTTTTATGCTATGTACATCTTCCTACATTTCTTTTATAATATATGTGAATGCCACCACTGGAAAAATCTGAGACAAGTCGGAGGTGAACGGAAATGATCCCAAATTAGGATATGGAGAAACGATTGAGTGGCATCCAGATCTGCTTTGAATCCATACCTTTTCTGACTCTTAACATTATAAAAAGAGTCCATTCGTTCTGGTAAGCGGCCATTGTTTCTTTGGTGGTGGTGCTCTTTAATCTCAAGAGGACGTGGTGACACGCATTCATCTCTACATTTTACCACATATATTGGAACTCCTATTTCCTCTCATTATCACTTGGATTCTTTTACATATTTTTTTTTATCTGCTATGATTCCATTTTGAGGTGTAAAGTTGTTTTTTTAGTTATGTTTAGCACGGCAATATGTTTATAATAATTCATCACACAGAACTGGTCTGTGGCAGTGTTTCTGTCCCTTGGTCTGGATTACCAGAAAATACTTTGGCAATGACAGCAGCCTGGATGTTTGAGGATATGCACTTTTCACTATTCAGTTTCTAAGTTGCCATTTGTCTTTTTTTCTTTTATAATAAATGTATTTTAAAGCTACATTTAAGTCTGCACCCCCCGGTGTTTCTTTTTTATAGTGACAAATGGCTTTTTGTGTGTGGATTTTTCTCTATTGTTATGTGTATTATGCATGTTTTTTTTTTTTTGCACATAAACACAAGCAATTATTTTGGATTTTTTTTTATATGGTTTAAGAAGATGATATCGCTGTACTATATTTGGGAAGCTTTTAATTCATATTTTGTTTTATGGTGGGTAAGTATGGAATCATAATATATATTTAATTGGTTTCTGTGTACTGGAGTGTGTTTTCACAATTTTATTTGTGGAGGAGTTTAATATTTTAATCTTTATCTTATATATTTTTTGGTTCACAAACATATTCGCCTTTTTCCAGATATCATGGAGGGGGTTGCATGGTTAGTATAATTCCATGGTTAAAAGACTTGTGTCCCTCAATGAATGAGAAAGTTTATAACAATGCTTTTTCTATATACTGTATAACTATTTCAGGGAGCCTAGGACAAGCTGGGGGAGGAGGGTTTGGGAAATGTATATTTTAATTTAGTAAGTTTGCTTTAAAAATGCAAAACTCATCTTCACACAACAGTAATAAGGGGATATAAGGTTAAAGCAAGGCAGGCAACATCAAAGGTGACTGCGATCAAAAGGTGCATAATCTCTGAACATCTCTGTCAAGATAGTCATATGTCGTATGTATGTCCACATTCTGCTGATTTTTGTAAAAAAAAAAAATTTAAAAATTTCCAAGCTTCACTTATTCTTGTGGTGTTCACCAATAATACAGCTGGTAAAGTCAAAAGAGGTCAAGGTCAGGTTTTCCAGTTGTAGACAAGCTACTTAATCAGTTTTAGAACTAAGATTCCCACGTTTTTGTAATTAAATCTTGTGTAAAAGTTGCATGAATCTTGAGTGAAAAAAAAATTCATAAATCCTTAAGGCCATTAGAAAACAATTATCAAATTCTGAGTTACTTACTGAAGTGATCTTATTTTTCTGGCGGGTGAAATACCATTGCTGTGTCTCTCTCAGAAGGTCTTCCCCTCCGGCATTGGCCAATATGATAGCATCAGCATAACGACCATCCTTTAAGCACAGGTCCACAGCTGCCTCAAAGTTTCCCATCAATAGAGCCTGACTTATCAGTCCATCTGTGTCTAAGAAACAAAATAAGTAGCTAGTAGCATCTAATACCTCTCTTTTAAAGTGTAACAAGTGAAAAAAATAGGAGTACTAGGAGTTCCATACCAGATGATACTGGGATCTCAAACTTGGCTGAATCATGTGGAGGTAGATTAAAAAACTCCATAGATGAGGAGGATGAAGCAGTTTGTCCAGTGAAGCTGCTGGAAGCCTACACAAATACCCAAATAAAATATCACATGCAGAATACCAGACCATTTTAAGCACATTTATAATTTTACTGACATATAATTAAAACAGTCAAAAAAATGCAAACCGATACAAATGGCACACTGAAATTATAACACGCAAATTTAAAATTCCAACAAAAAAATATTTGGCCTCCATCTCAATTGTCCAAACGGATCATCTACTCAAAGGTCAGCAATTTTTCAGCATGCAACAGATAATAGACAAACTGATAAATCTAGTTACAGCAAAGTGTTTATAAGCTCCTTGAAGGCAGGGACTGATGTGAATGTACAATATATGTGTGTAAAGTGCTGCATAAACTGGGCGGCAGTATATAAGTAGCAGAAATAAATCAAATAAATGTTTGGAAGATTCTATAGAAGATGGATCAGAAAGAAAAATATTGCAAAGAGAGCTCAGTGAAAAACCATGATTGAAGTATTATTCTTGGCAATGAAATTAAACATTTGTTAAGTGATTAAAGTATATCTAAAGCCATATTTGTTGTTTTCTATAGCCCGCTGCCAGCTACAATTCACAAATTAAAATTGGGCATTCCTCAACCTGCTGCAATCCAAAGGACTATTCCACAGGTAATATACAGTAAAGAACACGTGTCTTACCTGACTGGATACAGACTGGATGCTCTGAACCAGATCTTCACCATCTGAAGGGCTGTTTTTGTTTTGCCAACTGTCACCCAAAGCAGAAGAGATCTGTAATACAGAGACAGCACATTTTAATACATTTTTGTGACACCTGGTACACAAGCAACACAGTACAGTGTAAAAGCTAGCACACCTAACAGTGGCATCACCATGCACGCTGTATTTTGGCTATTATGGACTGCAAATAATATTTATTATTTTCTGAGTCAAATTCACAGACTTGTATAGAGCGTTGTTAATTACAACCCACTGGGGTGACAGATATAAGCCCATCTATATTGGTTTTGGATTCAATATATTGACTGGAAATGTGAGAAGTTAACCAGTAAATTCAGAGATATAGTTGAGTAATATAGCGGCGGCAGCCCGCTCCTTAACAGCCAGCTTAATGTCACATAAAGCACAACATGCAAAATGCATAAAAAATGCATAAAAAATGCAATACTATTACACACAAAATGCAATCTGCGGAGGGAAAAGAAGCCCATGACCTTTTTAAAAATCTGTACTCAAAATGCACAGATGTGATCTAGATACATAGGAAATCATGTTAAATTTACTGTAGTGCATTTCTGCAAACTGGAAAATGCACTGAAATCCACATAAGCGTGAACCAAGGGGAATGGACTGTGCCATCCATTCAGAACTATGTGCCATGGCCATGACTGCTGTGCACATGTGCGGGAGTGACGTCATCGTGGTTCGCCATTCATGCAGCTGAAGCCGGAAGGAAGACTGGGTGAAGGTGGGAGCGCCTACAGTGGTGACAGCTCTCCACAGGAGGACTTCATTTTCTATCAACTCTGTCTTGGCTTCATGCCCGTTCACATATCTGAAGACTGAACAGAACCCAATCTGCATGACATGTGAAAAACCATTGATTCTATGGTGCCTGTTCACATATGTCCAGTGCATGGCTGGTGCAGATTCAGTGCGGTTTTAAAAGAGCCATGTTCGATTTCTGAGCAGTGGCTTAAGGTTCAGGTGCGGACTACAGGCTAATGATGTCAATGGGAACCATTTCTAAACCGCTTATGTGTGAACATAAGATCCTGAGCTAACCCTGTCCTGAACCTGATGTAAACCTGACGTGAACCTGTGAACAGCAACTGTATCAATTAGCTGTGAAAGCTGCGCTTCAATCCACACCGCACATGTGTGAATCAGCTCTTAAACTGCTCAGGGGCCCAGTTTTATTTTTGGTGCGGTTTACTACCACAGGAGCCAACATCAATCAAAGTTGTAAACAGTATGTGCTGGAGTATGAATTTTATCCAGTAGTTTACAAGGGAATGTTTACTTTATTTAGCTTAATTTGTTAAGCTATAAAACAATGCTTATATCAAATAAAACTCACCCAGAGCCAATAGATGTCGATAATAGTGTAGTATTTATTAAAATATTTGGCATTAACACAGCACAACTGTAAGGCAGTTAAAAAAAAAAAAAAAAAAAAAAAAAAACAGTATTCAAAAACAGATAAAACTCACACATTCCAACTTAACGCGTTAAGGCAAAAACTCTGTGTGAGTTTCATCTGGGTGAGCTTTTATTAGCCATAGTTGTGATTAGACCTGGGTGCTGCGGAGAGGAGACAGCTTGAGGCTGGTGTATATATATCCAGGAGGGATCCTTATTTGAATCACATGCTTTTAATACTGTATTCACTGCAGCATAGACAGTGGGTAAATAAATATTGAACACATTACCATTCTTCTCAGTAAATCTATTTCTAAAGGTGCTATTGACATGACATGTTCACCACATGTTGGTAACAACCCATGCAATCTATACGTACAAAGAAACCAAAACAAATAAGCTCAAAAGTTAAGTTATGTGTAATAAAATTAATTACACAAGGTAAAAGTATTAAACACCTGAAGAAAGGGAGGTGCAAAAAGGCATGGAAAGCAAGGACACCAGCTGAAATCTATCAGTACTTAGAAAGCAATCCTGTTAGTGCAAATGAATATCAGCCGGTTCAGTCTCAACTGATGACCTATAAAAAAAAAGGTGTCTTAATACCAAGGTATCACACAAGAAACATCTCACGATGGGTAAAAGCAAATAGCCCTCTCAAGACCTTCGCAACCTGAGTGTTGCAAAACATACTGATGGCATTGGTTACAGAAGGATTTCTAAACTTCTAAATGTTCCAGTAAGCACTGTTGGGGCCATAAACCGGAAGTGGAAAGAACATTTCACCATAAACCGGCCACAACCAAGTGCTCCTCGCACGATTTTTGACAGAGGAGTGAAAAGAATCATCAGAAGAGTTGTTCAGGAGCCAAGGACCACTTGTGGAGAGCTTCAGAAAGACCTGGAATTAGCAGGTACAACTGTGTCAAAGAAAACAATAAGTAATGCATTCACCCCCCATGGCCTGTATGCACGCTCACCACGTAAGATTCCATTGATGAAGAAAAAGCATGTTGAAGCTTGTTTAAAGTTTGCTGCACAACATTTAGACAAGCCTCTGAAATTCTGGGAGAATACAGTATGGTCATATGAGACCAAAATTGAACTCTTTGGATGCTAGCATGTTTGAAGGTCAATGGCACTGCACATCACCCCAAAAACACCATACCAACAGTGAAGTCTGGAGGTGGGAACATCACAGTGTGGGGTTGTTTTCCAGCACACGGTACTGGCAAACTTCATGTGATTGAAGGAATGATGAATGGAAAAATTTACCAAGACATTCTTGATAAAAATCTGCTGCCATCTACCAGGATGATGAATATGAAACAAGGGTGGACATTTCAGCAAGACAATGATTCCAACCACAAAGCCAAAGAAACTTTTGTATGAGGTATTAAATACATTTCAGTTATTGTGTTCAATACTTTTTCCCTGTGTCATTTTATTACACAATGTCATTTCTAAACTTTTTTTTTTGTTGCTTTGTATGTATGGATTGCATGGGTTGTTACCGACATGTGGTGAAAATGTCATGTCAATAGCACTTTTAGAAATAAATTTACTGAGAAAAATGGCAACTTGTTCAATACTTATTTTACCTGCTGTATATTTGGTGAGTCCCTCTATAAAAGCAATGGTGCTTGGTGATTTTTGCACACAGAAGGCTGGAACAATCCAATTGGTTGGTGGAATATTTAGCTTTTTACTGGAAATTTTTTTTTGGGACTTTAACACACTTCTGATTGTCCATTTAATATTAGGTCTTTCTGGATACTGAATACGTTTCTTTATATGTTTTTCATAATGCACTCTGATATATTGTTGTGGATGTGATTTTAATTATATGTTTGGCACTGCATAGATTCTTTACTTTAACGGGTTACCAATTGTTTATCCATGGGGCCCTCAGGAAATCCTCAACAGCAATGGTAAGGATCTTGTTTCTGGGTTCACTAAAGGGAGAGTCCACTTTTTTAGGAAACTCTCTTCAATTGGATATTGCTGAGCACCATACAAGACAGGCTGTAAAGCAACTGTACAGGGAAGGTTTAGTAGGTCAAGGCATTTTTTTTTTTTTTTCGAGAGAGATGGTGACCTTTGGCAAGATTTATGCAGGCTGCTCTAAGTCAAGGCACCTGCTCACCATGCCAATAAGAACCAAATTGGTGTCTTTAAAAAGGAATTAAACAAAACCTCATTTTTATGACAGTAGTGATCCTTTTTGATCGCCTTTTTCAAACATAAGAATTTGTCAGAAAAATTCAAGACACTAGATATTAAACTTTACATTACTACAGTTATGTTTAAACAAGAAATATCAATTTTGAAGACTATTGGTTTTCTGGGTGCCACTGAATATAGCTTTGCATGCCAACCATAGCAAACGTGCTTAGCCAGTTCAGCTCTTTCAACATGTGTAGTATGTCCAAAGAGTGAAGGGTTAAGCGCAAGCTGATGGCTGCAGTAGCCATCAACTTATGCTCATTTACCTTGGACAGTTTCCAGCTATAAAGTGCAAGTGATCCTGTAGCTGTATAGCTGCCTTATCACTTTTACTGTGCACGCAGCACGGTTCCCACCCCCATGCGGTTCCCGGGCTCTCCCGCTCTTACCAGAAGAGCACAGGATCACATCCACTGGCTTCAGGATGGTGAGTGGAATCAGACCAAGGAACATTTGTTCCTTGATCTACTCCACAGTGACATCACAGAGTTGTAATTTCTTGGCTAATACAGCTAAGGAAGCATCTATTTGCTTTGGAGGGAAGGGGAGACATTGGGATCTAATAGAAAAACAAAAGGAAAAAAAATCCACAAAATTACAATAAAGTGTATTAAAAAAACAAACAAACAAAATATAACCCCCATTTCCCTACACCCACAAATGCAAATGAACGCACAGGGTGCACATGTGTAGGTAACCCCCAACTGCACTACACGTTAGGTATTGCTGCGAACATTCGGACTTGGAGCTGACATGGGACTGGTGCTGCAGCATAGAGGTGAGTATGGATGTTTGTTGTTTGTATACCCCAAACTCCATTAATCCTGCCTCTCTGCAGAACATATACATCTTTCCTTACCTCCCTGTCATACCACTTAGCTATCTGGAGAAGGAACGCCTCCCTGTACCTAAGCTGCAGCTTATACTGGGCTACATTTTCTCACCATGCAACAATGCTGGTGTTTGAGGACTGGTTCAGCACTGTCCTATGCAGAGAGTATTGTGTTTTCTAATACCCAGAAGTGCTGAGTGTTACCCTCATTTTAGGGAGCTGAAGAGAATAACAGAGGGAAGGAAAAAGTACATGCTTTAATTTCTCTCCCCACCTCCTGGTCAGTTACTATTCTATCTAAAAAGCCTATTAAACACACCTTTTTATCCAGCTCTTCCTTGCTGTATCCAAGCAGCTTGAGGAATTTTTCTCTTGCATCTTGTTCAAAGTTAACCTGAAAAGAGAAAAAAAAAAAAGCCTGAACATGTCAAAATAAGAGGTCATCAAGGCAGAACCCCAAGACTAGCAAGGAAAATAAATTAAATACTAGCCACCATGTTTTCAAGAACATGACATCTGCAAAAAGGTATAATCCTAAATTACTAATAGCCATGTTCTGCTGACATCTGGTCATTTAAAATCAAATACAGCAAAATGCCATGCAGCACAGTGGTTGAAATGGGTTAGGGATGTTGAATTCATATCGCCCGATGCCCAGGACATGTATTTCCGGGCAGGTAGTTTCCCCCCCACCCCCACTACGTCTCCCGCTTGGCCATTTGCAGGCCTGGGACCAGTTCAGTCTGCGCCATTGGCTAAAGGGAAGGGAGGAGAGCGGATATGTCTGGTCCCATCCCCTTCTTGTCCGTTGACAGATTTTCCAGCCATCGAGGCCAGGAAAGAATGTAATGCAGTGTGATAAACACTTTATTACATTCAGTGGTGCACATGGGAGACATAAAAAAAAAAAAATGTTTTTTTAAATTGTAAAACAATTAAACTTACAGCCAAGCACCAAACATACCCTCAGAAAAAGAAATTTGAGAGGACCCCCCCCCCACACATCCCCACATATACGTGCCTACGCATGAAAACGGCAATTGCTGTACACATGTCAGCAATTGCAATTGCTGTACACATGTTAAATGTCACTGCGCACACTAGAATGAGCAATAATTCTAGCACGAGACATCCTCCGTAACACTATACAGCTGACCTATAAGGGGTTTTAAAAGCGTCGCCTATAGAAAATATAGGGTACTGAAGTTTGTCGCCATTTCACAAGCGCATGGAAATGAAAGGTTTGACATGTTGGATATCTATTTACTCGGTGCAACCTCATCTTCTATATTTTACAAGAAAAATAGGGTAATTTATTGCTTTTTTTTTTTTGCCCTAAAATCAACTTAAGTGTATTTTTAACTGAAATTTTGTGGTAATAAATCAGTAATATCGTGCGACACAAAATATTTAAACTACTACTATTTTATTCTCTAGGGCAGGGGTGTCAAACTGTCAGCCCCCCAGCTGTTGCGAAACTACAAGTCCTTCATGCCTCTGCCTTTGGGAGTTATGCTTGTAACTGTCAATCTTGCAATGCCTCATGGGACTTGTAGTTTGGCAACAGCTGAAGGGCTGCCAGTTTGACACCTGTGCTCTAGGGTCTCTGCTTTCAGAAAATATATGTTTGGGGGTTTTGTGTAATCTTCAGGCCTAAAATTATTTTTTTAAACTTTTCCTGACGAGCACTCAATCACTGCTCATTGCACTGCAAGGTCTCTCTCCTCCCTGCTAGTCCCCGGGTGCAGTGCTGGAGAGAGACAGGAGGGTGAGGAGGAGATAAACAAAGCAATGTTAAAAATCTTAAACATTTAAGTCGTAACTAAGCCCCTTTTAATTTTAAAAGCCAGACATTCCTAAAAGCATCTCAGATTTAAAAACGGTTTTGGTTAAAATGTATTTTTTTTTTTATCTAGACAAGTAGACTGGAACCCCAATTTAGTCCCTGGACAAGTAGTTTTTTCAAAAGTTTTCCAAACAATAAATTTTCTTATGTACTTACATTATTCCTGCTTAAGAGATGCAGAAAATTAAAAGGCCACATGCCTGAGGTGAAGAACAGGATTATTTACGAACCTGTAAAAGTCTTTTCTTGCAGTACAGGAAATGGGTATAGTCTTGGAGGACTGGGTTATAGCCAGCAATCTTCAGGTAAATGGCAATGGAAATCCCCACACAAAGTCATAAATAAATTCTCATACACCTCCCACTCCCAGCAATCCTTCATATTGTAGCAGCAATAAAAGGATTCACAGAGAGGTGTCATGTACTGCACTCAAAAGAAAAAAAAACAAAAAACTACAAGCCAAAAATCCTGTTTTCTTAATTGCATAGTACAGGACACAGGTATAGTCTTAAGCGACTGGAATGTCCAAAAGCAATATAAAACCAGGAATGGGCAACACAGCAAGCAAACACCAACAGGACCACATAACAGAGGGTCAAAGACCCCAACTCAGACAGCAGCCTGGAGCACTTTGTAGGTGAAGCTGGCATCAGCAAAGGCCTGAATATTTGGTCAGGTGGCAGCCTCGCAAATCTGTTAAACAGAGCCTATCCTTGCTTAAAACCAAGACTGGTTCCATATATGACAAGGCTCCTAGCTCTGACAACCGCCTAGTGGAGGCGATTGTGACAAGAAAAAAAAAAACTTGTGTGCAAGGTCAGTCAAGAGAATGTCCCCCATAGGCTCCAAGGGAGGCCCCTGGAGGATCAAAAGAATAGGGTTGAGATCCTATGATGTCACTGCAGAATCTTTTTGGGGGGAGCTATATGAGGGACCCCCTGTTTTACCAGAGGATTGACCCCCCTTCCGGACTAGGCCATTATTTTGCTATTCGATGCTGCACTATGTCAACTGGTAATTAAGCAGTCATGCAATAACATACCCAAATTAAATTTATGTCCTTTTTTTCACACAAATAGAGCTTTCTTTTGGTGGTATTTGATCACTTCTGGATTTTCTATTTTTGTGCTCTAAACAAAAAAAGGCAGAACATTTTGAAAAAAAATATTTTCTTATTTGGTTATATAAAAATATCCTATAAACTAAAATTTTGTCATAAATTTAGGCCAAAATGTATTTTTCTATATGTCGTTGGTAAAAAAAAAATTCCAGTAAGTGTATATTAATTGATTTGTGTGAAAGTTATAGCATCTACAAACGGCGCTAGTTTAACTGACACTTTTTTACATAAATGAAATTTATGTAATTGTTTGTCACACAAACAGAGCTTTTTTTGGTGGTATTTGATCAGCCCTGGGTTTTTTATTTTTTTGCGCTATAAACAAAAATTGTTCAGTCAGTGGAATACTTTACTATTTACCACAAGTTTTTGGAAAAAAGCCAAAAAAATTTTTAATTAAATATCAATCAAATGATATATTGCTTACACATGCCATGGGTATGTGGAATTACACCCAAAAGTACATTCTGCTACTTCTACCGAGTATGGAGATATCATGTGTGAGACTTTTTGGGAGCCTAACCAACCACATACAGGAGCCCGAAATCCAATGACCACTTTGAAAGTCTGCATAATTTCCTCACTACCTATCACAGTTTCGGAGGACCTGAAATGCCAAGATAGCACCAAACCCTCCAAAATGACCCTTTTTTGGAAAGTAGACACCCCAAGGAATGTACCGTATTTTTCGCTCAATAAGACGCACTTTTTTCCCCCAAAAAAAGGGGGGAAAATGTCAGTGCGTCTTATGGAGCGAATATAAAGCAGCCGGTCCGGTATTTCTGCCCCACCATGTCAGAATACCGGGCCGGCCGCTCAGCTGTTGTCTCCTGCTGGGCCTTACCTGTTCCTCGCTCCAGTGCTGCACAGTCTTCCCGCGCTGGCTTCTGTGACAGCCGGGTGCCCACTGCGCATGTGCTGCGCTTTGTGAATGATCCGGTGTTTTCTGGGACACAACAGGTACCAGAAGGCACCGGGCCATTCACAAAGCGCAGCGCTTCTCGCGCATGCACAGTGGGCACCCGGCTGTCACAGAAGCCGGCCCGGGAAGAAGAGGGAAGGACAACTCCGCAGAAGTGGGAGCGGGTACCTGTCAAATTCAGGTACCCGCTCCCCCTCCCTCCCCAAAGGTCAGCAGTCTCTGGTCATCCCCTGCACTGTCTGCAGTCTCTGGTCATCCCCTGCACTGTCTGCAGTCTCTGGTCATCCCCTGCACTGTCTGCAGTCCTGGTCATCCCCTGCACTGTCTGCAGTCCCTGGTCATCCCCTGCACTGTCTGCAGTCCCTGGTCATCCCCTGCACTGTCTGCAGTCCCTGGTCATCCCCTGCACTGTCTGCAGTCCCTGGTCATCCCCTGCACTGTCTGCAGTCCCTGGTCATCCCCTGCACTGTCTGCAGTCCCTGGTCATCCCCTGCACTGTCTGCAGTCTCTGGTCATCCCCTGCACTGTCTGCAGTCTCTGGCCATCTGTACTGTGTCCCAGTCTCTGGTCATCTCCTGTACTGTGTCCCAGTCTCTGGTCATCTCCTGTACTGTGTCCCCAGTCTCTGGTCATCTCCTGTACTGTGTCCCCAGTCTCTGGTCATCCCCTGTACTGTGTCCCCAGTCTCTGGTCATCCCCTCCTGTACTGTGTCCCCAGTCTCTGGTCATCTCCTGTACTGTGTCCCCAGTCTCTGGTCATCCCCTGTACTGTGTCCCCAGTCTCTGGTCATCTCCTGTACTGTGTCCCCAGTCTCTGGTCATCTCCTGTACTGTGTCCCCAGTCTCTGGTCATCTCCTGTACTGTGTCCCCAGTCTCTGGTCATCTCCTGTACTGTGTCCCCAGTCTCTGGTCATCTCCTGTACTGTGTCCCCAGTCTCTGGTCATCTCCTGTACTGTGTCCCCAGTCTCTGGTCATCTCCTGTACTGTGTCCCCAGTCTCTGGTCATCTCCTGTACTGTGTCCCCAGTCTCTGGTCATCTCCTGTACTGTGTCCCCAGTCTCTGGTCATCTCCTGTACTGTGTCCCCAGTCTCTGGTCATCTCCTGTACTGTGTCCCCAGTCTCTGGTCATCTCCTGTACTGTGTCCCCAGTCTCTGGTCATCTCCTGTACTGTGTCCCCAGTCTCTGGTCATCTCCTGTACTGTGTCCCCAGTCTCTGGTCATCTCCTGTACTGTGTCCCCAGTCTCTGGTCATCTCCTGTACTGTGTCCCCAGTCTCTGGTCATCTCCTGTACTGTGTCCGCAGTCTCTGGTCATCTCCTGTACTGTGTCCGCAGTCTCTGGTCATCTCCTGCACTGTGTCCGCAGTCTCCTGTCATCTCCTGTACTGTGTCCACAGTCTTTGGTCATCTCCTGTATTGTGTCCGCAGTCTCTGGTCATCCCCTGTACTGTGTCTGCAGTCCATTGGTTCAGAATATTTTTTTTCTTGTTTTTCGCCTCTAAA